AGGTTTCAAGAAAAGAAATTTTTCTTGAGGGACTGAGTTTAAGAACTTAAAAAAAAAAATAGTATACAAATTCATCAATGAGTATTTAAAAAAATCAAGTTGATCAATGTTCGTAGTTGATTTATCAAGTTACACATTATGGGACGTTGTTAAAAATATAATTTTTTCATCGATATAACGGAGCGGACACTATCAAGTTAGCTGATGAATGAAATAGCAATGAAAAATCTCATTTGAGCGGGCGGTGATGCTCCAACCCCGAGGCTAGATGAAACCAACTGGATGACCTCCCTCCTCAAATATCACAGTCAACCAATATCTAGAACTCTACACGTCTTCCAGGGAATTGCTTTTATTTTATTTGCTACAAATCTACAGATATTTTTTTTTCTAATAACATTCGTAAATGAATAGCTATTTAGAATATATAACAACTGTATTAAATCTGCAATGTTTTAGGGGGAACATTATTCGGGATGCCACTGGATAATTATTGGTGACAATTACCCAGAAATATTTAATAAAACATTAAAGATAAAAAGCTAGTAAAAGAAATTTGAATATATATTATATTGATTGGTCCAGGATTAATTAATTTGATTTATTTTCTCATAGGCTGGTTTGAGTTTATCATGCTTTCTAATCAGTGCATAATAAATAGGTGGCAGAATTAAAAATAACTTTACTAAAAAAACTTATTACTTTATTCATTTGAGATATGTTAAATAAAGAAGGATTATGATGTTTATCCAGTATAACGCACTGTGTCCATCTGAAGAATTCGAAGGGTGATAAACGTTTTTGATCGAAGTGTGAACGTTAAATTCTATTATCTGTCGTTATTTAACCTTCCAAAGTTAGCAAAATTTTTGTAAGGGATTTCGCTTATTCATTAAGGCAAATCTGCGCTCATGGTGTGATGCTTAAAAGTTTAGTATTGCCTACGTGCGTTGCAGTAAATGATTCAGAGTCGGTAGGTATGCGATGTGTGTATATAATGAATAGTCAGGCCGAATATAATGAATATTAAAGGGAGTATATATAATGAATAGGGTGTATATAACGAACAGTAAGGCAAAAAAAATATTGATCCTTGCGGTACTCCTTCTAAGATTAGTCGGGTTGAAGAAATTTCAGAGCGATGTCGGATAGCAAAAATTGTCAAAGAGAAGGAACCGGAGAAAGAGGTATTATTTATGAGGTAGAATGGCCTTGAGTTCAAAGGGACTTTATATCAAATCCCAATGTGACATCCAGAAATACACTTGTAGCGTTTTTGGTTTTGTTTGTTTTTGAATCTAGTTTTCCAACAATGTAGTTGTTGTTTTATTGAATGTGATTTTAACCTGACTACTAAACTAATTTAACCTAAACAGTAATTTTTAAACCGTATAGCGGAACAACACCTCGCGGATCTACGATGAAGGGAGAGATTTTCGGGATGAAGCTCCGAATGATTAAATCCGAATTAAACCCTGAATCCGCTGCTGATAGCAATTAATATTTTTAAAAAAGTTTTTGATTTGTAACTTTTTTATTTTTCCTCCCCACCTTGATAACTTATACCTATCTATAGTTCTTACCCAACGGTCATAAATTAGGTTTTATTAAACTCGAAAATAATCTTTTTAGATAGATCCAATTTTATTCACTAATATATAATACACGCCTATGTTGTAATGATCATTTATTTTATCTTAATATGAGTTTATACACATTTTTAACGAATACATTATGAATTAAAAACCCATTGATAGTATTGAATCCTTTATATTTATTATACTGAATAGCTGAATCCTATTGATATAATAAATCAATACCGAATGCAGTAATTTTCTTCACAACGTCGAAAAGGATTAACAACTTCTATATGGATTAACTATGAAGAATGGTTTTATAAAAAGAGATATATTAAGGCTATTTTATCCTTACCCAGCACTAAAACAAATTATCGTTGTAGAGTGCAATTTAGAATTTTAAAACCATTGCAATTGAAACTATCCAGGGAAGAGGTACCACTGGGTGCTATCGTTCCCCATGCCCGACATGTCATTTCCATTATCAGACCATCTGCTTCGTTGACAGGTGCAGATGATCATATGAAAATAAAATAAATAAATTGAAATTCTCTCAAATGTTATAAACAGGTTCCATTGTACGGTATTTGTAGATGTTTAACTAAATATTTCAAATAACCGATTTTGAAATATCAGATGTATATTATTTTATTTTTTTTAATAGAATTGGCAGTTTTTATATCATATTTTACATATTATTAAATGTAATACCTATACTTATTGTGATACAGGTATATTGGTATCCAGAAGTTTAATTAAATATTTCTCAGCGTATTCTGCCTGAAGTTGAGCCAAACATCATGAATATCAGAAGTAATTAATTGTTTCGACGCTATTCTATTGAACTTCGCTAAGTTAAACTTCAAACAGCGGAATTATTCGAAATAGCTTCCGGACAGCAGGCTCCTCAAAGGAAGTTTAATTAATTTTTATAGAAAAAATAATGAAAAAAAAGCATGTACGAATCAGGAATTTTTATTTCAACTTCAAAAACGCTTAAGCGCTGTAATGAACTCTTCGAATAGAAAAAACAAACAAAAATATTTATATTTTTAAAAGTCGCACGGTCTTATAGCATGCATTACAAAGACATCGCAAATTTAATATGAAGTAATTTTTACAAAATGCATTATAAATGCTCTGCTTAGATCAATTATATAGTATAAAAGTAATTAAAACTTGAATGTGTAAGAGAAACAGTTATATTGAAATTTATCAATCTGAGCTACGATGTTTTAACCCCTTCATTAAGATGTTTTAAGAGATTCGGTAGTAAAAAATCCCACTGTTTGAGACCACTCCCTGACCATCTCAAATCTATAGGAAAGATAAAAATTATTGAAACTGGGGTTCCTATTGCGTTAAACACATGAAGTTTGCGCTGTACTTCTTTGCCAATACAGAACAAAACCTCTCAGATATCCAAATTCCTCAGACAGACCTTGGCCTGATATATGACAGAACGACGACATGGAGTCCATACCTCAAAATGAAAAGAGAAACCTTCAACAAGGGATTGAAAATACTATACTCACTAATTTCTAAATCAAAATTGAAAATAAGTCTAAAATTAAATATATACACATATCTTTTCAAACCCTTATGGGCATGTGCCTTACAGATTTTGGGGTTCAGCAAAAAAGATGCTTAAAAGCACTACATTTTTTTCAAAATACAATTTTAAAATTAATAACATCCGCTCCTCAGTACGTAAACAACAAAACTTTACATAGGTACCGACTTACGATAACCAATTATCCACCAATTATCCAGGTACTCTTAGCTCATTCCATATTATGATTTTATATTAATAATCATAATAAATGCTCATGTGCTCCAGAAAATGCCTAGAAAAGCTCTAGTATACCTAACATAAATTTATAATGCTATACTCAGAACGACTAAATTTCCCTTACAATGGAAATATTCATTCATAACAATGATTCACAAACCTGACAAGAACACCGACTTGCCTTAATCCATCAGCTTGCTCCCATTATACTCCAACAATTTTGAGAAACTTCTCTACAAACAGTTTTTTGACATACTGACTATTGAAATCATAATAGCTGAACATCAATTTAGATTCTGTTCACACCACTCAACAATTCAAAAGACTTACATATGTAAACTACAGATTTTAAAATCTAAAACATTCAGGACTATCAACAAGACTCCGCAGTACGTCAGTAACATTACTTTACATAAAGGCTTACAGATGCCAGCAGTTAACGACCACACACGAACACACTACAAGATATTTCATAATAACTTACACGGCATACCAACTCATTGATTCGAGGCTCCCGAAGGAAGCTTAAACGAAGCTCTGGATGAGGGATCTCCTCCACTAACTATAAATATTACAATCAAGACAGGAAGGACGCCGCTGGGTACTCCTCTCCCTCACGCCTATTCCAAGACCTATTAACCATCTACATCTTGACATCACACTCGCTGATTGTCAGAACTTCTAACAGGTGTGAGTTGAAAAGTTAAGTTAATAAAAAAATATTAATCATCACGGACACAGCAATAGACTTATAAATGAAATGGTCACAATTGAAATGCCTATCAGAAGGCGACTGAAAAGGAGAGATGCATTTTGAATTATGAAAGCAAATAACGATTAGCAAGAGGTGCTGTAGGATACTACTCTTTCTAATGCCTATAATGTATTTTTCCAAGTTCACAAAATCACATCTATGTATTATCAAATCCATAACAAGTGCGAATTAAAATTTGAAGAGCAAAAAAAAGTTTCGTAACATTTAAATTTTTTTTGTTTTAAAACCTTAAATCTGTCTCAATGTCCGGCCAATCGAATATTAAATAATCAACCAAAATAACTTGTGAATTATAAAACAATGTTAAATGTTACTGTCGTAATGATATAACCATAGACGTATTCATCACAAATATACGGTATCGCTAAAAAGATCCACTTACAAAAACTTCAAAAGTTCCAATCAAAATTATTGAGACTCATAACAAAAGCACCTTGGTACGTGACCAACAAAACTCTACATACTGGCCTCCACTTTCCAATAGTTGACCAACATATAAAGTCCCTTTATCAACGATTTTACACAAATTTAAATGGACATAATAACAGACTTATAAGAGACATGGCCACAGCTGACATACCTCAGAACATGAGGAGGAGACTAAAAAGGCGTTGGATGAGAGATCTCCTTCCTTAGACAACCTAAGTAATTGGAACAAGTTAGGGAAGAGGTACTGCTGAGTACTTTCCTTCCCCATGTCATGTCTTGACAGGCGCAAATATACTTTAGACAAAAAAAAAAAATGTTACTATTCTTGCAAATGAACATATTATGTCTACATACATGTCTACTCTCCAAAGAACAACCAATGAATGGACCTAAGTTCATGTTTCAATGTTATATCATGTGTAACCGAATGGAGAGTGATTATGTAAGGGCTGTTATTCGTTATGTTATTGGCCCTGGGATTGGGATCTGCAGGAAGGAGACGAATTGGCAAGGAGCGCCGCTCAGAGCGAGGTTAGGCCAAACCGCAGAGCAGTGGTGTAGTCCCGTGTCAGCATCAAACAGCCCCTACCTTCTACAATTCTCTCTAACATTAAACTCAACCTGACAGCATTCACTACAACTTGATATATCCTCAAAAAAATATATTCAAACAACCAACATGTATAAATCATAGTATTAGTTATTTGACAAAAGAGTCTCAATATTTAAGATTTAAAATAAGTAGAACTATAAGAACATTTAATAGTTGACCGTTGCATTATAAAGGAAGGAGATGATCCGGAGAGGCGGTCATAAATACCTACCCTTATCCTGATTTTCCAATTCTAAGTGAAACTACTAGCTGAACACACTTTTAAGTCTCTATTTTTCTTCTTCAAATTTTATATACTTATTTATTTATTTGTTTTCTTTCTCCACATTCCTATATGTCTATTATTTCATATTATGTAATTTTTCCTTCTATTTCAATCTCTCCTGTAGATCTGTAGAAGTATATTCACATTTGAATATATTATATATTACACTATAATAATTGATAGCATCTTGTTGGGGTCAGGGGTATTCCAAAATGCAAATACAAACCTTTCCTCGGTGAGTTTCCTCAAAAGTGGGGAAAATTCGAGCAAAATTAAATGGTGGAAAAGAAGGGAAAAAGTTAATGAGAATGAGACCAGTAAAACATGGAAACTGTGCATGCACAAGAAAATATTAAAAAATAGAAATATTTCAATAAATCAAAAAAATGGAAAATAAATATAAATCTCCTTACGAATGTTTACAATATTTATTGAATTGAAATAAAAAAGATGAAATATATAAATTTAAGATTTAAAACATAAAGACAGTACTCAATGAGAAATAAAAAAAATTGTCCATCAAAACAAAAGTTGGAGGCTATACTACCAAAGAGGTTACCTGCGGTCTTCAGCTAATGTAGTCGATATGTATATCGAACCTGATCGATGACACCGCTGGACTCTTCAAAATGGCGCTAGGTGCGGTGAGACGAGACGAGCTTGGAGCTGGTGAAAATGGTGGGGGGTAGACGTCCAACACAAACGAAAGATCGCTCCAGACTGACTTTCCGGCGGTATTATGGCATTATTTCGATATCTTAATCCACAAGACTGGGCATTACTGCCGGGCTGGTGGATATATAAATGCGATAATACATCGTAAAATGCTCAATATACCAATAATATTCATTTACGGGACAATTATCTCTCAAACTTTTAAAAAGAAAAAAGATAAATAGACATTAATAAATCAACATCAAAAAATGGATGGTGAGAAAAAACAACAATGAACAAAAATAAAGATATGAGCGCGGTTAACACATCAGTGTGGTCTAGACCTCAGTTCAGAGCGTATGATAAAAGTTCAGTCAGTTTATAGTTAGTGATTTTCGCAGTTTTTAGAAGGAGTTCGGTCATAATTTTTGGTTAGAACCAACTATTAATCGTGTTATATCCACAGACAGAAAAGATTCTTCAATACAACGCCGTTTCACGTCAGAAGAAAAAAGGAAAAATCATAATTTTAGTCGGCTTAAGGTATTTATTGCAGGCACTCTAGATAAGAATATAGGTGGGGAGCGCATGCGCATAAATAGGACTAGGTACTAGATATCTCAGTGCTTCCAGTGACGAGGTTGGGGTAACGTCAATTTTTTTACCACGTTACTTACGTAATTTTTTTTTTTCTCTTTCTTCTTTTCTCTCGCTTATCAAGATGGTTTTATGCCCAATTTGTAAACAGACCATAGCAAGAGAAGAAAAAAAAACAATGGCATGCACTGTCACAGCATGTCAAGCCATTTTCCATGGAAAATGTCTAAACGCAGACGAGAGTGAGTTTGAAGCACTGAGGGCATTACGAAAAAATTGGGTATGCCCGAAATGTGAAAAGGCTCGGAAAAATATCCAACCGACAGACAAGTGTCTCAGCCCGCCAAGATCGGCGCCACAACAACAAACTGTCGACAGCACGTCACAACTGTTACTTGCTGCCATTAAAAATCTAACAGAAGAGGTCAAGGGATTAAAATTCTCCCTCGATGCCAATGCTAACGAGGTGAAAGAATTAAAAATATCTCTTGAAAAGCAAGCCTCCATAACTTTTGAGAATGCGGCGAAATTAGACTCTATAGAGTCACTACTGGAGGCTCAAAATTCCAAGATTGACGGACTGGTCTTGGAAAACACGACTCTCAAGTCTCGGGTCTCGGAGCTCGAAATCAGGCTCAATAAAAGTGAGCAACTGCACCTTTCCAGGGCAATAGAAATAAGAGGAGTCCCAGTGAGATCTGGAGAGACCCCGATGGGCCTGGTTATGAGCGTGGGGGCGGGCCTGGGCCTTAGTCTAAAGGTGGAGGACATTGACTATGCAGAACGGATAAGAACCAGGCAAGACGATACACCTGGGCCGCTTGTGGTAAGGTTCGTCCGGCAGTCGCTTAGGGATGAGTTGATCCAGAGGCGAAAAGTCATTAGGGATTTTTCAACACGTCACCTCGGATGGCAAGAAAATGACGCCCACAAGATCTACCTGAGCGAAGCTATGTCCGTAACCAACAGACACCTGTACTGGCTGGCCCGGCAAAAGAGGTCTGCAGGAAAAATCAGGTACAGTTGGTTCAGCGCAGGCAAGGTGAAATGTCGACGAGACGATGGACAGCAGGTCGTCGTCATCAACTCACCATCAGATTTAGACACGTTTGCTTGACATGCATATACATGTTACATCACTTCGAACAATTTTGTTTTTACTTTTTTATATCCCCAGTTTTATGTTTTTGTTGCGTTTGTTTTAATAATAGACTATGATAATAATTTCATTTTTGTTTATGAGAATATTTTAGGTCTGATCTGTTCAGAAACTCTAATTTGTGTATTTTTTTTCTTTTGCACAATAGGAATATGCTTTTCGTTAACTAAATTTTATATTTTTTGTTTACCATCCTTATTAATATCTAGGAGATCTTGCACGCAATTGGCTCTAGCTGCTGTAGAAATATTCCTATCCTTAACTCCTTCTGTCCGTTTACCAAGCCACCCCTCCTTCTTCCATGACTAATATCCTTCTAACCTGCCACGTCAACGCTCAGTCACTCTTAGCCCATTTTGATGAATTTTACGACTTTTTTCTCCATAACTTCTACCATTTAATTGCCGTATCCGAAACCTGGTTGAAACCCACAATCCCGTCCTCCCAGATCCTTCTACCTAACTATACTCTCCTTCGTCATGACAGAGTAGATCGCACGGGTGGTGGAGTAGGTCTCTTTGTCCATGACAGTCTCAAATCCAAAATCCTTCACTGCTCTTCCATAACCGATTCTCCGCACGTTGAATACCTTTTCGCCGAAATCCTCACCACCTCATCTGCCATTCTGTTTGCTGTCATATATCGCCCTCCTAGAATTCCTTTCGATGAATCACTTGAGACTTTATTGTACAACTTAATCCCTTCCTACTCAAACATCATCCTCTCCGGTGACTTTAACACCAATTTACTGGCACCATCCTCTGATTATTCCTACCTAACAAACCTCTTTAATTCTCTCAGCCTTTACATAGTACCTTACAATCCAACCCATCATACTCAGTATTCAGAGTCCTGGCTCGATCTAATTATCCTGGATTCCTCAGCCAAACTCCTTGCCGCATCTCAGCACCCGGTTCCGTTTCTATCTTCCCACGATCTTGTCCAGATCTCTTACAATGTCCCTGTTCCATCCTTTTCTCCCCGAACAATATCCTTCCGAAACCTAGATTATCTCACTCACGAAACATTGTCAGAAGGTCTTGACGATATCCAGTGGGATCCCATCTACTCCTCAAAATCCATAGACACCATGGTAGAAATCCTTACCACTCAACTTCACTCTATCCTCGACCGACATGCTCCTCTTATCACAAAAACCATCCGATATCCTCCAGCTCCTTGGCTTACCCCTGCTGTGAGGGAGTGTATGAGAGAAAGAGATGCTGCAAGGCGACGGTTTAAACGAACTCGACTTCCTGATGATTTTCTCTCCTACAAACAGCTTCGAAATAGCACTCAATCAGCAGTACGCCGTGCTAAATCCCGTTACTACCATCATTCCCTATCCAACTCTCCCAATACCAAGGCTACGTGGGCTATTCTTAGAAAACTGACCATTGGTAATACACCCCAGTCTCAGTCCAATTCCGTTTCTGCTGATAACCTCAACGCTCACTTTGTCTCCTGTCCTCTTGCATCCACATCTCCCACGTCCAGTCTGGCTCCTATGTTTTCTTCCTTTAATCCTGATCACTTCTTTCTTTCCCATATTACACCAGATGAGCTTCTTAAATCCATTCAGAACTCCCATACCAATGATTACGGTCCCGACAACATCCCAGTCAGACTGATTAAAGCCGCATTGCCATCCATTCTTCCGATCCTTTATCATATATACAACTATTCTCTTCCAAATGCTACCTTCCCTACATCCTGGAAAACCGCTCTAGTACGCCCATTGAAGAAGACTTCAAACCCATCAGTTCCTAATGATTTCCGACCGATTTCCCTCCTTTCAAACCTCTCAAAACCATTAGAGCGGTTAGTCCAATCCCAGCTATCCCATTTTTTAGAGGACAATAATCTCCTAAATCCCTACCAGTCTGGATTCAGGCCTGGTTATTCTACTCAGTCTGCCCTAATCAAAATTTCCCAAGACCTTCACACAGCCATAGATCAGCAGAAACTAACCATCCTTATTCTCCTAGACTTCTCCAAAGCTTTTGATTCAGTAGACCACAACATCCTCCTAACCAAACTTAAAAACATCTCTTTTTCTTCTAGTTCCCTTAATTGGTTCCAATCCTTCCTAACCGGTCGCTCCCAGTACGTTGTAATTCCTAATAACCCACCATCAGAATCTCTACCTCTGACCAGAGGCGTCCCACAAGGCTCTTCCTTATCCCCCACCCTTTTCTCCATCTATATAAATGACCTCCCATCCTCTATCCTGCACTGTCATTACCACCTGTATGCCGACGACATTCAAATTTACCTCTCCTTTAATCCGACAGATATCTCAGATGCCACTCAAAAACTTCAGGAAGATATTGACAGAATAAGTGCTTGGGCAAACCTCAATAGGCTCACTCTGAACGCTGAGAAGACAAAAGCCATCTTGATCGGATCCCCTTCACTCCTCAAATCCTCCCCAGTATCTCCCAAACTCTTCCTGAACAACTCACCTATCTTATTCTACACCACCGTTAAAAACCTAGGTGTTACTTTCGATCAATCCCTATCCTGGAAACCTCACATCTCCCAAATTTCCCGTCGCACTATCTCCACCCTAAAACAGTTCAATCGTCTACGATATCTCCTTCCATATAAGTCCCGTCAACTCCTAGTTTCCTCCCTTGTTTTCCTCCACTTCGACTATGGCTGTATGGTGTACGGTGGACTCCCGGGAGATTCCGAGGCCAAACTTAAACGCCTAATGAATTGCGCACTACGATTTGTTTTCGGAATCTCAAGGGATACGCATATTACCCAGTATTACACTGAGTTGAGGTGGCTCTACCCATCCTATCGCCGTCAGTACTTCCTAGCCACCTTTCTGTACCAAATTATTAGAACCCATCGACCCTCCTATATTTTTCACAGCTTACAATTCAAATATTCCATCCAATCCCGTCCCACCAGATCTCGTACTTCCGACCTCTATCCTCCTCCTCACCGAACTGCTGCGTTTGACAAATCCTTTGCAATACAAGCCGCCTCCCTCTGGAATTCCATCCCAGCTGATATTCGACACGCTCAATCAGTTTCCTCGTTTAAACCACTCCTCTTTAAGCACCTACTCCTTTCTCAATCCGAATGATTGTGAAATATATCTTAGAGAAATATCTGAGCACCACCAGAGACTACCTCAATTTATTAAGATTATTTTAGCTTCTCATACATATGTACAATTTACTTGTTCTTTTTTTTTCTCTTTTCTGTATTTTTATCGTAAGTCAACTTTCATTGTAAATATACAATTTAATTGTAGCCACACAGACATATAATCTGTATTCATATTTTGTTCTTAAGGGACAACAGTCCCAGAATAATAAAACATTTTTTTCATTTCATTTCATTTCATTTCATTTCATTTCATTTCATTTTCATCTATTTACTTCAATTTAGGATTTTTTTACTTAGCTTACTATGTTAAAATTTTAATGTGCTTACTGTTTATAATTTTAATAAGCTTATTCACATTGTTTATAATTTTTTGTCTTAATATTATGTCCGTCCTAGCCTTGAAGAAGACCTGCAAAGTCGGGTCGAAACGTTGGCTTTTAATAAAATGGTTTTGCCACTATTTAGCCTATTTACGACCGCCACCCCGGACCATCTCCTTCCTTTAAAACTATAAGAGGTTGTATATTAAATAACACTTTAGCTGTAAAACATTTATTGTTAAATCCACACCTTTCACAGCCTGTAACAATAAGTGAATGTGTTATTTATTGAAAGAATTGGAATGTCAGACATGAGAAAGGTCGGAACCCATCGGCACCTAAACCTAGCTTAAAATAAAAACGAAAAAGTTAATCCAAGAGAACTCCTAGCCAGTTCCTTTTCAGCCTTCGTCGTTTTCTGGCATATGTCTTGTTGTCATGCTTTGTATCAGTTTGGTCGGAAAGTTTGACATTGAAATTTTATATATGATGTCTGTGATAATATATAATGTGATCTGTGAAAGTCTGCATGTCATATTTTGTTACTGACGTACCAGAGTGAGTGCGTGATGAGTCTTAATATTTCTGATTGGAAAGCCTATATATATTTTTAATTTGGGTCTTTTAGCTATCCCGTAGATTTGTGATGCATAAATCCACATGTGTTTTAGTTAGTAAGGGTAAGAATTTAGCATTTGTCTCATTTTTAAAGTAGATTGTTTGTGTAAGAGAATACAAAAGCCTTAATCGATTATTTAATGTAAGATTTTTTTTTTTAATGTGTGTCCCCAGGTCATCCTCCTTTCGAACGAGAGTCCTAAGTAATGGAATTTTTGTTAGTCTTTTGTATGGGAACATTGTTTATATTAACTGGAGTACAGATGCATTTTATTTTTATTTAATAAATATTATGTTATTGTCACCTTCAGGATACACCCTTCCTTTATCATTAAAACGCTCTATACGAAACTTCTCTTGTCTGAAACGGTGCTTGAAGTCTTCTTATGCCAGCTCCTTCAGGATGCTTGCAACCTGAATTTCCTATTGAAACTAAGCAATTCAGTGAAGGTTCACTATTCCATAAATATGGAAAAAAAAAATCATCATTACTTTGAATTTTGATTTGCTATAGCTCATTCGATCTTTTTTTACTCTCGGTGAAGATGGGCTTTTCCTGTGGATGGATTGGCGCATTGTTTTAGGACCATAAAATACCGAGATTTGTCAGTCTGTATTAAAATTTACAAGATTTGAGTCCGTTGAAGCTGTGAAAGAGGAAGTGGAACGTGCTCTGAATATTCGAGTGTTGCGTAGCCAGAATATAGTAGGGGTATGTACTGTATTGAGGGTAATAATAATAAGAATAAGTCCCGTTACTAAATAGGAACATGTCGTTGACATTAATCTGTAATTGGTTTAAAACGTGTGGTAGATAAATGTGTGCCACTACATCGTTTTTTAAACACAAATGAAGAGAAACCATTTTATAATTAAGTACAAAATTATCAAGACATGTTTAAAATTACATTAAAATAAAAACAATTAATTTACTAATCATTATTTGGTTACAATTTAAGGTGCCACGTACATCAGCATATGTTAGAGGCACAATGTTCAAGTTGGATTATTTTAAATTGGTTCAAGAACAGGGATAAGTTCTTCTAATTTTTGTGTTTTAAGGCTTCGCAGGAAGTCAGGAGAGCTAGCGAAATGCTCGGTGAATGATGATATCATTCTTGCTTCTATCATCGTTAATAAGCAAATTAATTTTTGTTTTTTAATGAGCATTGAATAGATAATAAATGCTAATTTTTCAAATCTCAAAACACTAGATTCATATGTGTAAGAACAGAACAGTTGAATTCATGACAATAAACCTCTTATGATTATTAAATCAATGGGGTTACCCATGACAATCTATAATGTACCAGTTCCAGAAAAAGAAATTACAATATTATGTCAAAAATGTACCAACTGTCAGTTTATATAGAAACAAAAACTCTGAAAGGACAAGTTAACAATTAGAAAAAATATCAGTATACAGACACTAATTAAATATATTTGGAACCGTTGGATAAATTTAAATAAACTTCGTTGACATGTACCATACCACTCCAACCGGCATTACTTAAAAATATCAAAAGATCAGTTCAGAATTTTACATAACTCTATTTAAAAGTAAATACATCAAAATGTTTTTTGTTTTTTCTAATCTCCCTAACACTTACTAATTGTCTTGTAACAAATAAATTATCTTAAATTAAAATTATTAATAAGCTGAATTGTGATTTTGCTAATGATATTCTAACCTTGCTTCCTCCTCGATCCCTTATAACCCTCCTAGGCGTCTCAAAAGAAGATGGCCTCGTGATCTCCTAATTTAGATACTTTATTAGAGAGCTACGAATAGGTAGATTCTCTAGAAATCTTGTCATATCATATTTTCCTCTATATCACATTTGCTGAATGTTTATTAATTTGTATAGTTGTAAATTTCATAAAAAAAAAAAAAAAAATCTGGTGTGTCCACTCACACGACTTTCCTACCTATTTCAGAAAAGTATTTATATCTTAACATATGTCCACCAAGAAACAAAAAAAAATAGATTTATTTTCTTGTAAATTGATAAAGATTTTAGAACGATTTATTTGATAAACTAGAGTAATGTAAACCGGTTTAAGGTAGATCAGTATTAGCATTTCAATACCCTCTAATATTGCTGATCAAAAACTTTTTGCCAAAGCCGAATTTTTCTAAAACAATAATTTCTGTTAAAAGTAGCGGAAATAGTGAAGCTTGTGTGATGCGAGCAACAGATTTTCTTACACTTAGTTATCTTTTTTCTCTCATTTGACCTTTCAATGGCTAAAAATGAACTTCTGAACTCAGGGAATTCTGAGAATTATAGATCCGTCGAAAACCGCATGTCGGAAATTCGACTCGATCGCAATACTTAAGTTACCTAGTATAGGTTGGAAAGTAATGAATTAAAACATGTGTAGAAACCAGAATAAGCTATATAATCGCTAATACTGGATCGATTCCGATTTTTTTTTTTTTTGTTTTGTTAGTAATTTAATAACCTTTGAAAAGTTTTATTACAAAATTTATCATAGAATACATAATTAGGCCCCCAAAAAATGTTGTTTTCTTTATAGTTTTTTTCCCAAATTTTCTAGGGAATTTTATTCACCTACAAAAATCGAAAGGACAATTATTAGAACTTTATAAGAAAGTTTCATCAAAATCGTCAGAGCAGTTTTCGCGCTACACTCTATAGAAAAACATGTTTATTGCGCAGGAGCTATTGTACACGGAGCACCCAATTTTTGTCACAGGCATCAGTAGTCAAAACCCTACAAAAATTTTTTAATAAAAATTTTCGGACTTTGCGGATTCTGAAATGCATAGATCCGTCGAAAACCGCATATCGGAAATTTGACTAGATTGCAACACTTTCCTTACCCAATATAGATAGGTAGGAAAGTAAAAAAAAAAGACATATTGATGTTTTAATTACAATCGCACAAATAAATATTACCAAACCACAGAGATAATAAACTGTGTTCTTAAAGCTAATTGATTAATTGTATATATATTTTTTTATCATTTATTTGTATAATATTTAATAGAGAACAGTGTAAGTATAGACAATCGTGTAAGGTTAAAGGATGAAAAATTCTATTATTATTTTTTTTTTTATGAATATGGAGGGGGGAAAACTGTTGGAGAGCCCTTTGTCAGGGTGGAACTTGATTCTTTGATTTTAAAGCCTTGCGGAGGTGAGGTCCTGCGAGACCACAAATCATCACCTGAAACCTGTCTGTGGCGATCTCATCTTTTTATTGCTCATCGGGACATGACGAAGTGGTGGGTGTCATTCGATACTCTACGGACCTTCGATAAATGAAGGAAGTATGTTTAATGAACCACCTTAAGTATATAATAACAATGAATCGAATGGCAGAAATATGTATGTGCTGGCCAATGTTTTTCGATTATAGGCAAATGTATTATTAAGACAATAATATCTACTCGATCTACGATGGAAAGAAATTGAATATTATAAACAGTCGATACGAGCAAAAAAAACAAAACAATAACAACAAAAAACAGTCAATATTCATATAAATATTATATTAACAATAAATCAATATAAAATTTAATCGATGTATGTCGAAGAAAAAAAAGTTTTACTTTTAGAGGAACAGGAGCAGTCTAATAAAGAAAGCAGTTTTGTATGAACTGCAGATGCGAAGAATTTCATTCCTTTTGTTGGAGATCTTCCAAGTAGATAGGTTTCTCCCACCCCAAGTCATCTCTACCTCAACAACCTTGTTCTTACTTCACTCATAACATTCATCTTCTAAAATTTATGTGTTTTTTTCTCTTAAATAACAAAATGAAAATTCATTAAATAAGTATTAATGAAATATGAATACCAAATTCTTTTCTTATCCTCTATTTTATTTTTCAACTATAACAACATAAGTACATGGAACATATACATATATATTGCATGTATATAGTATATAGTACATGCAATATAGAGATATATATTGCATGTACTTATATCGTATTAGGAGAAAAATAAAAATGGAGAATAATAAAAGAATATCAAAGCCGTATATAGAAGATGGATAGAAACGTATTAGAAACAATATTTCGATGGGTTTTAGATCCTAAAACCCGTGTGAAAAACTTAAATAAAGAATCCTACTTATTTATTATGGTTTCTTTAATATTTATAGGTAATATCTTCTAAAATTCTCATGTTGTTCTCGAGATCTTCTAAAAACTATATATCATAAAGGACGTTGAATTGAACCTAATATATATATATATATATATATATATATATATATATATATATATATATATATATATATATATATATATATATATATATATATATACATAAAAAAATGATATATTTATGTATATATATATATATATATATATATACATAAATATATCATTTTTTTTATATGAAATAAAAACAAAGAGAAAGAACTGTTTAGCAAAATAAGTTATTCTCCTGCCTCAAGCGTGCCAAGTCGTACGCCATAGGGCGAATAGAACAGTTGATGCCAAATACACAGTAGTTCCGTGCTATATCCAACAAGCCACCTCAGCAGTGAGCACGATTCTTCTAGCTGTATAAATCAAACAAAATATTGAATACGGGCCAATTGTACTCAATATCATGTTTCAGAACATGAAAACCGGTAGGCCGTAAATAGGCCCATGTTTAGAATAAATATTTCAGGTTAAAACTACAATTGAGACGTCTAAACGCATCGATCATACTTGTATCTTTTTGTGCCCAAGGAACTTATTAAAAAAAAAAAAAAAATCTTTCGTACATTAAAATATATGTGAGTGGCCTCATATCACAGACGAAAGAAAATCTGTCATTTTCAAAAAGTTAAGAAAAAGCCAACTTTTGTAACATCGCTTCAATTTAAAATAGTTCTAATGAACTTGTTTTCATAATTAAATTTGAATATTCTTAAATGAGATCATGAGAAACAGTTTGATTTAAAATTATAAAACAAAAATTGACTTTACATCCTATTTTTGAAAATGACAGATGTCCGTCTTTGATATGATGCCGCTCATACATCACATTTATAATCATTAATTATATATAAAATATGTGGTATAGTCTGTAGTAATATATAGTATGATCTAACTGCATCTAACTGATACAAGGGTTATAAAGGAATGTAAACTAAGACAAGGGACCGATATATATCCTTATCATCACTACATATATATGTGCTCCTTCAACTGTTTTACAGAATATTTTGTTAGTCGGTAA